CACCAGACCATTATTATTTGAAATGTTGAAGGGTCTTCTTGAAGAAAAAGATAAAAAATATGAACAAACAAAATGGCAACGAATACATATCTATCGACAATTGAATCTACAAACAAAATGAACAAGCAGAACAGAAACATTCTCATAGATACAGAGAATGTTTTGTTGGTTGCCAGATGGGAGGGGGATTGGGGGAATGGGTAAAAAAGGTGAAGGGATTAAGAAGTACAAATTGGTTGCTAGACTGACAAACCTCAAAGGGAAGGGGGTTTGGGGGTGGGAGGAAATAAACCAAAGAACTTATATGCATAACCAATGGACACAGACAACAGTGGGAAAAGGCAGGAGGGGGGCGGGAGTGGGGAGGAGGGGGTCAATGGGGGGGGGATGAGGAACATCTGTAATACAGTCAACAATAAAGATTAAAAAAAAAAAACAGAGAGAGAGAGAAAGGGAGAGAGAGAGAAACATCGACATGAGAGGGATACATCGACTGGTTGCCTCCAGCATGACCCAGACCAGACCTGGACCGAACCGCAACTGAGGTAATGTGCCCTTGGCCAGAATCGAACCCATGACTCATTGGTCCACAGGTCAACACTCCACCACTGAGCCAAACCAGCCAGGGTGGGACAAAACCATTTTAAATCGTATTCACTCTTTTGCTTAAGCATTCCACTTTTATAGTTGGTGTAAAGGTAAAACTCAGTTCTACCAAAACTTCAGCAAATTTGAAGTAATGGAGCCCAATCAATGAGCTTTCCTTGTGGCATCATTAATGACTTCAGCTCATGGACCTACCTGTGATTTAACCTGTTCCTTGGCAACTGTTGTTTACCACTTCCATTCAGAATTTCAGTGTTTCAATGTGATGGTAACAATATCTGCACACCACTTGTACTATTATTTACTTAAAATTTACTCACTGTTTTTACTTACTGCTTGAAAGGAAAGTAATATCACTACTATAACTAAAGAAGCACTAATTCATTCAACAAATATTTCTGAAGTGTCTAAATGTACTAGCAGTGAAAACACACCAAAGAGAATCCCTACCCTCCACCCTCATGGAGCTAGTGTTCTAGTAGGGGCAACAGACTGTAACAAGTTAAATAAGTAAAATGTACAAATGTTAGGGCATGGTCAGTGTTGAGGGAAAAAGTGTGTGGGGGGGCATACCAGGAATCCTTGGGGAGAGTTAAAATGTTTGATGGGGTGACTAGGGAAGGCCTCATTGAGAAGGTGACTTTTGAGTAAAGACCTGAAAGGGACCAACCATGTGGAAATCCAAGGGAAAGGCAATCTAGGAGGTGGGAGCAGAGGGTGCAAAGTCCTCAGGAACAAGTGAGCCTGAGGTGTTCAAGGAACAAACATGGAGGTCATGGGCAGAAGCAAGACTAGGTAGGAAGCTATTACAAACAAAACAAAACAAAACAAAACAAAACAAAAAACAGGCAAAAGATCATGTTGGCCTGGACCAGAGTGATGAGAAATGGTCAAATTCTGGAAATCATGAAGTAGAGTCAACGTTTGCTGATGGAACGGTTATAGAGTGTAAGGGGAGAGAGTTCAAAGAAAATCCTAAAACTTTGGCTAAGCAAGCAACTGGAAAGATGGAATCCAATGCATTTCTTTTTTACTTTCTTCCCCCTACTCCCCTTCCTTAGGTCCTCCCCCATGCCCCTCCCCCCACACCCTCATTTGGATTTCTGTTGCTTGCAGCACAGCCTCTTCACTCAAAGGAAGGAATGTAGAAAGCACTGGTATTCAAAAGAACAGATTTAAAGCTGCTTGTGGTTTTGCTTAACTAAAATCTGCGTGTGCTACACAGTTCCGTGATTCAGCAACTTTGAATTGATGACAGTGGAAAATCTACTCTATTTTTCAGGGATCCATTATGCCTTTCAGAATACTGAAATTCCGTATATTATAACTATATTGACTATACTCTGAATAGTTTAAACATACTGAAATTTCTGTTTGGTGTAATTCTGGCATGTAGATTGGTTGGCTGGATGCTAAGGAACACAGCTTTTAAAGAAAAGACGCATTCTTGGCTCTTATAATTTAGGATATAAACAGATGTATGCTTAATAAACTACGTGCTGCTTTTGTCAATAATTAATGCAATTATTTAAGTCATAAGCTCAAATTTTCATTAATTTCACTTCTGGTTTATTCACTTATTAGTTCAAAAGGAGGCCAGATTAAATAGAGTAAAAATATACAAGCAGTGACTAATAGCTTCAGGGTGAGCCAAGACATTAAAAAAGAACAACAAGGCACTCTGATTTTATCTTAAACACAGGCTTGTTACTTTAGTATTAAAATAACTTGGTATTTGAGTTTAGAGCCAATATTCTGATCTCTGTACAAAAATAATGCCTTTCTTTGGCACTGATAAATCATTAAGCATTCATCTTAATATAAAATAGCTTCTATCTTGTCAGTAAAGAACCTGCACTGCCTTCAATTAGACAAATTAATTTCTATTTCTATTCTAAAGTATATCCAGTACCATATATTCATCAAAGAAATGATAAATTTTGACTATGAATTGTTTATTTTGTATTGGAGAGTTCAGCAAAGTGAACATTTAAAATATGATAAAGGAAAAAACTCTTGTGTAACTACCTCTAAACAGATGCCTTCTAACTCGAAAACGTCAAGGCTGGTTTCTCCACTGGGCTGCTGACCTGCCTGTCTAGCAGCTCTGAACTCATCTTTTGCCTCAAACTGCCCCTATACTTGTGCTCTATACATCTGTAAATGACATCTCCATCCACCTGGTCAACCAGGTTAAGAACTTGAATCACCCTTGACCCCTCTCTAGCCTTCACTTCTTATGTCCAATTAGTTGCCAGGCACTGCCCACAGAACAGCTTCCAAACTGGATTCCCTGCATCTCATCTCTTCCTTCTCCATCATATCATCAGAATTCTCTTCTTAAAGCTCAGGCTTATGTTATTGCTTGTCCAAAAACCTTACATGTTTTCTTTCATTTCCTGTGGAATAGCCTAAACACCTTAGAATAGCACCCAAGACTTTCCACAACTTGGCCCTGACTCCCCCACTGCCTCATTTTGATGATACCCAGGATTTAATTAATGGAGGTGACTGAGCCATGACAGAGTGGTCAGTGCCATTAGAAGTTTTATTGCTCATAGTTGCCAAAAGAAGAATATGGCCTAGAGCCTTTATTGTGGTTTCTCGGGGAAGAAATGGTCAAGGCAGAGTAGGCAAGTTTGAGCATGCTTAGGACTAGATGATTTAAATGTTGGTGGACTTTGGGCTATAAAGGTGGTCTTTAAATGTCCAGTACTTGACCATGGGGTAATTTAGGGCAGAGGAACTAATGGCTTGGTGTGTGAGAGTTAGAGAAAGGAAGTGGTTGGGGATATGGGCTTTGGATTACTGGGTTTATATATAAAAGGCATGTTCACAGGCAAGTTGCTCGTTACTCTAGGAATTAGCTCATCCTGGGAAGGACAGTTCATCTGTAGGGCCCCAAGGCTCTAAGATGTCAAAGTATACAATTATACAGAATGTATACAGAAAATTAAAAAATATATTCATACACATCTCCCTTCCCTTGAACCCTTTGTTCATAGCTCTAGTAGCCCCAGAAAATCCCCTTTTATATGAAAAAATTTCTGTAGTGCATCTCTCAACATTCTGCCACCACCCATAGCCCTGAGTAGCACCCCCAAGTCTGGTACCATGATCCCTTCCCCACCTCCCACTAGACCAGAAATAGTACCCAATCCATAGGGTGGCTGGCAACCTATGACCCTTGTGGTCTGCTTCAAAGAGATGAACTGAATCAATCAGATTTTCTCTTTCAAGGATTTAAATTAAGAGCCACAAAAGGAGATTACCAATTTCTTTCACATAGCAAGATTAACAGAGATGCACAGTGATGAAACTGGCCAATAGGTCTGATTGGATCAAGCCTGGGATGGAGGGTTCAGTGACACCTTTCTTTAAGCCCCCAAATGTGTAGTGTTTTAAATTTCATATAAACATTTAAAGGACCACATAAACACAATCTAGTGCAACTGTTATTGGTGGAAGAGAAGGATCTCTTTCCCCACTGGGTGCTGGGGTCAGGTCCTTCCAATATCTTGAGGAAAAGAATTTTCTTCTTTTTTTTTTTAACCTTCACCCGAGGGCATTTTTCGATATTTTTGTTCAGATAGAGTGGGAGGGAGGGAGAGGAACATCCATGTGAAAGGGACACATCCAGTGGTTGCCACCCACACGACCCAACCAGGGCTGGGGACAAACTGCAACCGAGATACGTGCCCTTGGCGAAACCGAACCGGGTCTCTTCAGACCGCAGGCCAAAGCTCTAACCGCTGAGCCAAACTGGCCAGGGCAGGAAAAGAATTTTCTAAGACTCACATCACATGGCAGAATGAGCGATTTTTATTTGCATGGAGTTACATCACTGTTTCTAAAGTCTCGGTTCCCTTAAACCAGTCCTGGAAGAGGTGTAGCTGGGGATTTAGCCAAACTACAAGTAAAGTCAGTGTCCACAGTTTCCGTTCCATGGTGGAGTTAAGCCCAACACAGCATCAGGCTAGTTCCAGTTCATTAGTCCATTGTGTGGGGTCCACGTGTCTGTTGGCCATGAGGGCCAGCGCAGGGGAACGATGCCCCTTGCAACAGGAGAGCCAGGAGCCCAGTGCGCAAGAGAGAGAACCCTTTTGTTACCAAATCTTCCCGCTGACAGTGCCACGCCCGTCTAGCCAATGACTGGTTTCTAGGTGTGACTGACAGGCAAGCATCCTTCCCTGCCTCACTCTGACTTGATTGGGTATGTATCTAAATTGCAGTTTCCCTTTGCTCCTTTCCACTTATTAATACCTGGGTTAATCACGACGATACCACAACTGTATCCTGCAGCTTTCCTGGACATTTCCAGCTTCTTTTTAAACGTGGCTACATTCTGCCAGAAGAAAACTTCCGGAGGACCCACTAAAGCTCCCTGGCCCGCCTTGCACTGGACTAAGACCTTATCGATTGCTTCTGCCTGGGCTGACTCGCCTGGATCGACTGCTCCTGTCTGGCCCGCCCCCGGGCGCGCGCGGGAAAAGTTTCCAGCCGGCTTGGCAGCCACAGCGACCCAGTCAACCCCCGCAATCCCCACCAGCCTGCGCTTCCTCCTGTTGTTGCAGCTGACTCCCGGAGGTCTCCCGAATCACACGAGTGGAAGCAGAGAAGCTCACGCCGCCGCCATGTCCGAGGCTTATTTCCGAGTGGAGTCGGGCGCGCTGGGACAGGAGGAGAACTTCCTTTCCTTGGACGACATCCTGATGTCCCACGAGAAGCTCCCGGTGCGCACAGAGATCCCTATTCCACGCCTCGGTGCATTCTTCCCGGAGCGGAGCGGGGGGGCCGACACGGACAACGCGATCCCTCAGGTAAGCCCTGCGGCTCCGCACAGCGCAGAAAGGCTGCGGCTCGCGGTGGCCGCGCGGCCTTCGGGCGCCGCGTCGCCGCGCGCGCTGGCCTCTGGGATTTGTAGTTTTCGGGGAGGGCGGGTCGTGCCTGCAGCCGAGTATATCTCCGGGTCTTAACCTGGGCCACCTGCGCTGAAACTAAATTTATCCTAGGTCGTCAGGCTCCCTCCAACACGGATTTCGTCTTTGAAACTACAAATTCCCCAGTGCCCCCTCCCCCCATCACCCTGCCTTAGGATTGGCTCCCACTGAATGCTTAAAGATCAGGGTTTTGATTACGTTTGCCTTAAAACAAAACAACAGCTTTGGATCCTGTAAGAGCAGGTGATAAGTCTGGGCCCCACAAATTGCTAGATTCATCCCTGCCTAATGTTGACGGTATCAGCAACCATTGACTGAGAGGGCCTGGTGCCAACGTGGATGGGGTAGGGAGGGTGTACTTTTCCGTTTGTTAGCCCTTTCATTCTTCACAACCCTGTCCTACAAGGAAACCGAAGCCCAGAAAAGTTTGGTAGCTTGGCCAGGGTCCCGCTGTAGGTGGTGAGCTGGGATTCGAACCTGGAGCTGTGTAATTTCACATACAAGTGTTCCCCGGGGAACATGGCTTGTAATGGTTTTTTTTCTTTCCTATTTAAGTTCAGTTTTGTTTAGAAGGTGTTTCTGTTTGGTTTGAGTTATTTTTCTTTTTCTTTTTTTTGGTACATGCCCCTAGCAGGAACCGAACCCGGGACTCTCTGGTCCGCAGGCCAATGCTCAACCACTGAGCCAAACTGGCCAGGGCGAGTTAATTTTTCTTAATGTAATACATATACAAAGTTTAATAAGTCCAGTAACACTGAAGGATAGAAAATAGCTGGCCCTGCCTTGCTTTCCCCTACTTCCCTTTCCAGCTCCACATGATCTACTTTTTTTTAGTAGTTACTTCAAGGTTCACCTCCATGTCTCTAAATAATGGTGGTAACCTTGTCGTGACGTGTTAAAAATTTAGATGCTATGTATTGACTTTCCATTATTAAAGATTTATTTCTCCCACACACTAGTAAACGGAGATGAGCTGCCCATACTTCATTCATATTTCCCTCACTTTTACCAAACGTCCTAGGATGCCAGCCAGGACATCACGTGCGTTTAGTAGTCATGTCTCCTTCGGCTCCTTTTGGCTGTGAGAGTTTATCAGACTTTACTTGTTTTCAATGACCTTGACAGTCCTGTGAAATCTTTTTTTGCCTCCTTCAACCCAGTTATGCTTGCCTTTTATTTTTTAGTTTCTGATCTGTCATGGCCGTCTCCTCATATTTTCCAATGCTGATAAGGCTTTAAGATAAGCACTTTTTTTTTTTTTTTTTATCCTCACCCGAGGATATTTTTCCATTTTTTGTACAGATAGAGTGGGAGGGAGAGAGAGGAAGGGAGAGAGAGAAACATCGACGTGAAGGGACACATCGAGTGGCTGCCACCCGCACGACCAACCAGGGCCGGGGACAAACTGCAACTGAAGTACGTGCCCTTAGCGGGAACCGAACCCGGGTTTCTCTGGACCGCAGGCTGACGCTCCTACCGCTGAGCCAAACCGGCCAGGGCCCAATGCTGATAAGGCTTTAAAAAGATAGCGCAACATTTATCTTTTATGTCTTCTCTGAAGCTGTAAAGTGGTATGGGGAGGGAGGGGCTGCAGCCTGAGCTCAGGCTGGTCCTATTTTTCTTTATATCCCCCCAGCACCCAGGATGGTGCTTGGCAAATAGTAGGCACTCAGGAAGAGTCTATGTGGAATGGATACGGAATAGTCAAAGAAAGTAGAAATGTTTATTATACCCCTGAAGTATCTAGTTTTTATTTATGCCTTTATACCACGTTTTTGTTGTCTATGTTTTTATTGTATAAATTCATTTTCTTTCTCATCCCATCATGACATAAAACTTCAGCCCATACAGTTCATTTCTTCAAGTCATAACCTGATCTTCATCGTTTGAGAAGAGATGCAAACCCAGGGCTGTAAGACTTCATATCTCAGTGTGTCTCAGTGAGAACAGGCAATATTGCTGTGCAATGTGTATTTCCTTTTGTCCGATGCAGGGCTCAAAGCTGGAACTCCCCTTGTGGTTGGCAAAGGGCCTTTTTGACAATAAGCGGCGGATCCTCTCTGTGGATCTTCCCAAGATCTACCAAGAGGGTTGGAGGACTGTGTTCAGTGCCGATGCCAACGTGGTGGACCTCCACAAAATGGGGCCCCATTTCTACGGGTTTGGCTCCCAGCTCCTGCATTTTGACAGTCCAGAGAATGCAGACATTTCCCAGTCTCTCCTACAGGCAAGTAATTGATGTGAAAACCTATGGCACTGCACATGTGTCAGGAGCCAGCTGTGGCTGCCACCAGACGTCACTCTTACCCAGGAAGTTTAGAGCATGTACAATTAGTGTATTATTATTCCAGGTCAGCCTACAGTTAAAGACTGTATTTGCCAATTATATATATACTTAAATAGGACTTGTCTATTGCTCTTCATTCATATTTGCTTGCTAAGGGTAGGGAGGAGCAGAAAGTCATGGAAATAAGAAGGGAGTGATGGTTGCTTGCAGGTGTCAGGCACTTAAATACACAGTTGAAGCCCAGCCCCAGGACTGGTCCGAGGGTTCCTGTCAGAAATACATGTGATATTTGGTTATTTATTCTCTTCCCTTGCTCTGGCTCTGCTATGTACTAGCCGTGTGACTTGGTCAAGCTACTTAATCTCTCTGGGCATCAATTCTTCACCTATAAAAGGAGACAATAATAGTGCAAAAATTATAGAGTTTTAGTGAGATTGTGTAGTGCCATTTAGTAAATGGTAACTAGCCCTGGTCAGTTTGGTTCAGAGGTTAGAGTGTCGGCCCTCGGACCAAAGAGTCATGGGTTTGATTTCAGGTCAAGGGCACATACCTGGGTTGCAGGTTTGATCCCTGGCCCAGGTTGGGGTCATGAGAGAAGCAGCCAATCGTTACACATCGATGTTCTCTCTCTCATTTTGCCTCCCTCCCTCCCACTCTATCTAAAAATCAATGGAAAAAGATCCTCAGGTGACGATAAAAAAAGGTAACTATTATTATTGTCCATGGACAAAACAGTGTTATACTGTCCTTTACAGTGTAACCTTACTTTAACTTCTATAATTATTTTTTATTCTGTTAAAACTAGAAGAAACTATCCTTTCTACTTCTTGTTTCACTTCCTCATTTCTAGCTTTATAAGAACTGTTAGCTCAAGACACGTTTGCTTTCTGGACTGTGCTAATACCCTCCATCAGAAAGATTGTTTGGCCTACCATCTACCAGTGCTGTTTTTAATGTGATAGTTAAAATAGAAAACAAACAGCCCTGGCCAGTTTGGCTCAGCGGTTAGAGCGTCGGCCTGCGGTCCGGAGAGACCCGGGTTCGGTTCCCGCTAAGGGCACGTACTTCGGTTGCAGTTTGTCCCCAGCCCTCGTTGGTCGTGCGGGTGGCAGCCACTTGATGTGTCCCTTCACGTCGATGTTTCTCTCTCACTCTCCTTCCTCTCTCTCCCTCCCACTCTATCTGTACAAAAAATGGAAAAATATCCTCGGGTGAGGATAAAAAAAAAAAAAATAGAAAACAAACAAAAACATGCTGTTACCCATTCAGAAAAACAAGTCAATGTATAGACTATAGACAGTTCGAGTTATGAAAGTCTTCTGAGCAGAAATTGTGTGTCTTATAATGTTGTCAGGACATGTTCTTAAATTGGAACACTGTCCTTTTTGAGTGAGTTATATGTTGTCTTTTTCCATCACTGCTTTGAAGCACTGTAGACTGGACTTACTCATATAGAAGGTGAGACAGTTGCAGAACTGAAGTGGGGGCTTGTGGGTTGGGCCCAGAGCCCTGCACTGACACCCCTAGATCGTATGTGTCTCCATCTTTCTCTCAGATGGAAAACAATAGAAACTGCATTCAGTTAAATTGGGGATCTTTTCTGGTTGAAACCTGTCTGTGTATGACCACAGTACATTATCCTGGCCTTTGTTACTATAACAATAATGGGTAATGCTTTTTCGAGGAAGTTACTCTTCCCAGCCATTTGCTAGGGCTCTACACATATTACTTCATTGTATTTTCACAACAACCCATTTCACAGGCAAGGAAATCAAGGCTTGGCAATGTAAAATAACTTACGCCGACCTCCTGACTGAGTCCTAAAACCAAGTTCTTCTCTTTTGTGCCATTTAAATGTTCGAGGATAAAAGTAGATCTGATTTCTCTTACTCCCTTCTCTTTCAGACATTTATTGGGCGTTTTCGCCGCATCATGGACTCCTCCCAGAATGCTTACAATGAAGACACTTCGGCACTGGTAGCCAGGTTGGACGAGATGGAGAGGGGCTTATTTCAAACAGGGCAGAAAGGACTGAATGACTTTCAGTGTTGGGAGAAGGGGCAGGCTTCTCAGATCACAGCTTCTAACCTTGTTCAGAACTACAAGAAGAGAAAGTTCACGGACATGGAAAACTGAAGTCCCGAAAAACATAGAGTTGCTCCTTGTAGACTTAACCCTGTGACCTTGAGAAGAGCCTAGTTGACCCTGTAAAGGGCCAGAGTCATATCTCTCTTCTCATGGCCGGCCGCTGTCTCAGGAGAGGTGTCATGTGATTGGGAAAGGACATGCTGGAGGATGTCTCTGGCCCTGTAAGTCTCCAGAACTATCCCAACCTGCTGACCCACAGCCCAGGAGCCACAACAGAGGAGACATCAAAGTCCTTTAAAAATAAAGATTGGCTGGTTTGGCTCAGTGGTTAGAGTGTTGGCCTGCGGTCCAGAGAGACCCGGGTTTGGTTCCCGCTAAGGGCATGTACCTTGGTTGCAGTTTGTCTCCAGCCCTGGTTGGGTTGTGCAGGTGGTAGCCACTCGATGTGTCCCTTTCACGTCGATGTTTCTCTCTCTCTCCCCCCGCCCCTCTCCCTCCCACTCTATCTGAACAAAAAATGGAAAAATGTCCTCGGGTGAGGATAAAAAATAAAAAATTAAAAATAAAGATTGTAATACATACACTGCCACAGAATTGTGGCCCTCACTCCCAGTTTATCTGAAGATAAATAGAAAAATATCCTCAGGTGAGGATTAAGAAAATAAGTAAAATGCCTGTTTTAAGATGGAATTGATGTTTTTATCATTTGATTTTGGTGCTAAATGACCCACTTTGTACCTGAATGCATTCTGTGCAAGTACTGTTTCTGTAACTCAAGTACTACAGATGATCAGGCAGAGCCACCAGAGTTTTGTCTTTGATCGTATTTGACAATAATGCCCATGGAAATTTATGTTTTAGCAACTGCTCTTTTGTTTGCATTGATATTCCTAAAAAAGGAGTGACAAGTCTCTGTAGGGACGTGTTGTGTCCTACAAAGGTGGGACTTCCATAGCAACCATAGCATTTATTAATTGATTGATTTTAGAGAGAGAGGAAGCAAGAGAGAGAAACATCAACTTATTTATGCATTCTTTGGTTGACTCTTTGTGTCCTGACCAGGAACGAACCCATAACCATGGCATATTGGGATGATGCTCTAACCAATAGCTATCTGGCCTGAGCCAAGACTTCCAGAGACAACTCATAGAGGGAAAAAGCATGTTATTTAATTTCTGGACTCATTATTTTCATGGATAGCTTCGTATTTACACTGAATCCTAAGACTGCTGCCATTTTTTCCTCTTACTAAAAAAATGTGGCCCCAGGCATATGTGGATATGCACAGGCAGAATGTATTTCCTGTTTTAAATTTTGAACAGATTTTATTACAAATAACTCGTGAAACCCATTTCCAATGACAAATTTACCTCTAGGCCTGTCAATTACTACTGTTTTTCCCCACATCTCTCCCCAAATCAGTCTTTTGGATTACTGTTTGGTCCCTTCAAAGGTGATTTTTTTCAAAATTAGTGAACAAATTGAAATACCAAATCATTTAAAATACAGGGGGAAATGTGGGCCTTTTCCCGTTAAAGGCTCTGTTCCCAGGTAACTTTCCTTAATTATATACAAAAGACTTCACTGTATTTAGGTTTTTCCCTGGAACAATCGGCTGCAGAGGGTAGTGGGACAAGGCTTAGTGTCCTGGGGCAGTTACTCTTGCTCTCTGACCTCTGAACTTTGGACCTCTGCAGGCTGTCCTGAGAGCTCTTGTCATTCTTACAGTGTAGTGGATCCAGTTCAGTGTCAGGCTTTCAATACCATCTGTATGGTGATGACTCCCCAAATTCCAACTCCAGCTCAGCTCCTCTTCTGCTAACTCCAGACTGGTATCAGCCACCTGCTTGACACTCCCACTTCAACACGTGACCCAGCGTGGCTAAAACTGAGCTCCTGATCTCACCCTCAGTCTGCTCCTAGAGTCTTATGTCTGTTTTTGACAGCTCCGTCCTTCCCTACTGCTCAGGACAAAAGCCTCGGTGTCTTTGGCCCTCCTTCCCTCACTATCTCTTGGGTCTTCCTTCATCATTTGCAGAACCTGACCACTTCTTCCCCACCTCCACTCCTGTCCTGGATGGTTGCAATCACCCCCGTGTGCCTCCCTGCATTCACCCTGCACCCGGCCTTCAGACTGTCACCATAGCAGCCAGAGTGCTCTTGTTCAAAGACAAATCAGATCTTGTTCACCCTCGGCTCAAAACCCACAAAAGGCCACGCCACCCTCCCAGCACTGTTTGTTGGAAAGTCTCTCTTTACCCCAGTGATTTGGTATTGAATTTTCTTACTGGTTCTATAGTGGAAGTAATTTGTTTATTTTATATAAAAATTTCACCTTCTGCCTAAGAGATTCCTGAGCATCTCACAGAGTTTCGCATTGATCTCTCAGCACCTCTGGACCTGAGAAGTTTCTGGAATACTGGGAAGTACTGAGTGACTCACTCAAGTTTATGCAAAAATTCACTCAGTCCTGCTCTGAATCTGTCCTCTTCTGTTCCATCATCCTTCGAGAAACCCCAGGAGAGCTTTTCATCTTTATGCTTGGAACAATTGTGTTTAAGTGAAAATATGTTTTACACTGATCTTGGCAAAAGAAGGTAACTGCAGAAGCCACATGTGTGTTTCTGAAAGTAGGCATTTCTGTGTTCATGAGAAATATCTGGACTTGAAGTAACTTGAACAAAATGTAGGACTGATGCTTAACTCTAAGAACCTTAATTTCAACAATCCTTATCTAGTATAGGTAAACTGAACATTTTAATATTGAATATACATGAAAACAATTTTTAAAAGACAACTAAATGCCCTAAACCTAAAGAAAAATGTCTAAAATTTGGAATTTTGTTTCTAACTCTTGATATTGCCATTTGAATGAGCAATAACTCTCCCATCCTTGATGTGTAGTGAATAAAATGTATAGTGGTTCAAGGTCAAGTCTGAAAAAACAATCACTCGCTGACTTAGAGCAGAGGGCTAATCCAGGTAGATTAATACTGCTTTTAGAGCTGTTTTTATTTTTCTAGGCTTTTGCATTTCTGCCTAGCTAGTCAAAGGAGACACGGTGTAACCAGACAGTTCACTTGGCCAAGAAGCTTCCTCTAGGTCATGAGCGTTCTTCCTGTTGCTGGTGATGTGGTCTAAAGGAAGGTGCAGATGAGGCTGCCCCCAACAGCCAGACGTCTCCCATTGGTCAGCTTTTCAGTGATCAAAGTCAAGTCAACTAAAAGGGGCATCATTTTATTATTTGAAAATAATTTTCGATTTCTAGAACAGTTGTAAAGATAGTACAGTGTTCCCATAGACCCCGCCCCCAGCTTTCCCTGACACCTTACACTATCATGGTACTTGCATCTAACACTTCCTTAAACCACAGGTTTTATTCGGATTTCACCAGATTTTCCCCTAATGTCCTTTTCCTGTTTCAGAATCCAATCCTATGTTGCATTTTGGGGGCAATCATTTTCTAAAGCAAAACGGAGCATCAGACCCTTCCCTACGTTAACTTCAGAGGTTAAGCTAATTGGAAAGCCTTCCATGCATAGGGGTGGGGACCCTGGCGGACAAGGGGCCTTGGGCCTTCCCCAGGAGCAAGCTGCTGGTCAGCTTAAGGAGGGAAAGACTATTTGCTTTTCACCTGAAAATGAAACTTTTCTCCCAGTATTAGCATCTGATGGGAAAAAGCCTCTTTGATTTGCCTTAAGACTTTCAGCATTCTGTCTCTGATAGCACTACTTGATTTTCTCCTCTTTCCCATCTGGCACATACCAGCGAATTCTCCTTGTGTCTAAATGAGTTTCAAGTGCGTCTACGCCAACGTTATTAGCAAGTGTCAGAACAGCTCCGAAAATAGTGCCTGGGAACTGCTAATGTAGCCGTGGAAGCTGAGGCGCAAAGAGAACACACAGAGCCAGATAATCCTTGCAAACATCGCCCACCTCTGGCCAATTAAAACAAAACAAAACAAGCCCAGAGTGTTAGATCTTTCCAGCATTTTCTGCTCCCATATCACCCTTGAGAAAGAAGTTTATTTGACTCCCACATGACTCGCATGGCTTCCTTTTTGAAACTAAAATCTTCCCTGAGGACAGCGTCTTTTCTGTGGATGCAGAAAAGCAAATGACTAGCTAAGGAGTACAGATTCCAGTGCAACAAATGACGCAGATGAGAGAAGAATGGTGTGATTTATTGAAAGAAAAATGTGGTGCCCTGGCCAGTTTGGCTCAGCGGTTAGAGCGTCGGCCTGCGGTCCGGAGAGACCCGGGTTCAGTTCCCGCTAAGGGCACGTACCTCGGTTGCAGTTTGTCTCACGCCCTGGTTGGTTGCGGGTGGCAGCCGCTCGATGTGTCCCTTCACGTCGATGTCTCTCACTCTCTCTCCCTTCCTCTCTCTCCCTCCCATTCTATCTGTACAAAAAATGGAAAAATATCCTCGGGTGAGGATAAAAAAATAAAATAATAAAATAAATAAATCAGTAGTTTAAAAAAAAAAGAAAGAAAAATGTGGTGAGAATGCATTTTGATGCCTGACGAAAGATCAGAGACAGAAACCAGTATCAAAGCCAGCACTGGCGGAGTCAGAAGGGGAGAGATAACCACAGCTGTTCCCAGAGAGTGGCCTTATCTTAATGGGAACAAGAGGACTTGGCACTTGGCTATCTCTTAGGTTTAAGAGCAAAACATTTTTAAAACTTCTCAAAAAGACACTGTCATTTTCTAATTTAGCATTTCATGCTCACACACTCACTGCTTTATCCAAGAGTCCAGATAAATATTAAGTAACATTCTTCTTTTCAAATAATTGAGCAGCTCATGAAGTATTTTCTCAGGTTCTGAGCCAGCTCAGGCCTTGAACAACATTCCGGGGGATGCTACTAGCTGAATTTCTATATTTCAAAGATTCTTAGGAGGAACACACCATAGAATATGATGCATTGTGTTCATATATGATTGGCAAAGAAAATGAAGTTTCCGATTTTTAAGGCATTTTTAAAAGAGATCAATAAAAACAGAAAACCACAGTCCATTTTGAAAGACTGTTATTTCCATAGGCAATTGTGATTTTAAAAGGTTTTTCTGCCACAGCAAATAAAGAAGTCCTAGGGGGGAAATATGCCTCAAGTTACTATGTATCTGTCTCAGAAACAGTAGTTAGCCGAGTTAAATGGAGATGAAAGTATGGCCTTGCTTAATTACAATTACAGCTCAAGCATACCCACCTCCTGGATGTCATCACCTGATGTGACAAGATCCCTTGGGGGACTCATGTTGCCAAACAAATCGC